TCTGAAATACAGCAGTGTTGTGCTCTAGTTATGAGAGTCAGGCTGGGTGTGAGACAGCCTCCTTACTGTCTGACCTGAACCCGAACTTGAACCTAAGAGCTTCATGGCCAAAATGCATCTCCAAACTTTCCTAGGTGCTTAGAGAGTGACCCCAACTGCAGAGCGAGAAACGGATAGAGAAGGAAGGCTTACATACCTTATGGTCGCAGTTGGAGAAAGGCTTGAGCTTGGGCAGTTTCCGGGTCAGGGAACCACTTGTTGCAGTCTAGGGGTGCTGGGAACTCCAAAATTCTAGGGCAAAAGGCATGAGTTCTGCCTTAAAAGATTTCAACTCAGGCCTTCTTTTGGTCAGAAACAAGGTTTATTGTTTCACCAATAGACACAGGCAGCACTTTTAAGAACCAGCACATTTGGTAAATGAGATTTATCTTTTTTATAGGGGAAAAAGATTTTTGGGAAAATTTGAATGGGATCTAGGAATGGCCAATAGGCTGGGGTGACCAGAAGGTAACAGAGGTGTCTAGATGGGATTAAGAATAATAAATAGCCTGGAGTGGTACAGAGGTTAACAGATGAAGGGCTGGGCTGAGTCCAAGGTAACAGACAATGAAGATCAGAGACAAACCCCAGGGACCAGGCCTTGTGAGAAAGTTCAGGGGAAGTTCAAATGGGGTGGGTGTCCAGGGCCTGTCATTAGGGTAAATGCTTGTTTTTTTCCTTATTTCTTTGCAATCTGATGTTCTAGGTAATTATCTTATATATTTTTTTCATACAGCATAATGTTCTGATTTGTAAAATTATCATGTTCTTCTGGGAGAACCAAAACTCTATGTACATCTTATCCTGTCTTCAAGGTCAGTCACTTTGATTTAAATAGAATCAGTTTATTCTAAATTATAGTCTTTTGCTTCTCTTCACCCAAATTTTCCACCTCCTCATTTTTAGAAGTCCAAATCTGTTATTCTTTTTTCTTTTTTTAAATTTTTATCTTTTTTTTTTTTATTTTTTAGGCAGTTGGGGTTAAGTGACTTGCCCAGGGTCACAAAGCTAGTAAGTGTCAAGTGTTTGGTCTGAGGCCAGATTTGAACTCAGGTCCTTCTGACTTCAGGGCCGGTGCTCTATCCACTGTGCCACCTAGCTGCCCCCAAATCTGTTATTCTTTTCAAACCCTCTACTACTCTGGAGAAATTCTATCATCGGTTCCATGTTGTCTCCTTTGTTGTTTACTTTTATTATTTCTAATTTGAGACCAACCTAATTCCATCCTATTTTATTCTTTCAAATTTTCTTTTAAACGTTTCTAGGGCTTCTTGCTATTGTTCTTTGATTTCCAGAGATTCCACAGAATTATTTTTCAACAAGAATAGTTTGTTTCGTTTTCTTTTGTAATATACTTGTTAAATTTATTTCTTCTTGTTTTTATGAGTAACATTGTTGGACACCTAATTGCAATCTAAGCCTTCTCTCTTGGATCTTCAGGTTTCTTCCTTTGAGAATTACCCACTTACATCCTTAGACAATTTTATAACTCATTTTGATTTCCCTGTGTTGTAAGTGAAGGACATGGTAACCTCAACAGCCAATGGGATGGCAGCTGTGAGGTACAAATCACTGGAATGCCTGGGGTCCTCTTTCCCCACTGGATCATGATATAGGTCTGATCTGTGGGCTGTGGGTGGAGAACCTCTACTTGTGCTGATTAGAGATTCATTCCTGGATTGCCTAGAGTGATAGGATCAATAAATATTTCCCCTGGGAGTGAAAGCACAGCAGAGAGGAGTTTGGCTTTGATGGGGTTAGGGCAAGGCCCAATCCCTTTACATAGTCCTGGGCCTTGTTGCCTAAACACCTCCTGCTTATATTTATCAATTCCCTCTTGCTCTGTGCTCTAAAGACAGAAAGAAAGTCAGAAATTCTTGATCTTTTTGATATCATGAACCCATCTGGCAGTCTGAAGCCTATTTGTACTTTCTCAGAAGCATGCTTTTGAAGTCATAATATAAAATACATAGGATTATAAAGAAAATCAAATCTATGGAAAAATACAGTTAGCAAAACATTAAAAAAAAAAACCCACCTGGCAAAGAATTGGAAATCAAGGGGATGCCCATCAATTGGGGAATGGCTGAACAAGTTGTGGTATATAAATGTAATGGAATACTATTGTGCTATAAGAAATGATGAGCAAGCGGACTTCAGAAAAACCTGGAAAGACTCGTATGGACTAATGTCGAGAGAAGTGAACAGAACCAGGAGAATATTGTACACAGTAACAGCCACATTGTGTGATGGCTAATGCTGATAGTCTTAGCCCTTCTCAGCAATGCAAGGATCCAAGACAACTCCAAAAGTCTCGTGATGGAAAATGCTATCCACATCCAGAGAAAGAAGTATAGTTTGGATGCAAATAGAAGCATACTATTTGCTCTTTTTTTCTTCTGTTTTGTTTTGTTCTATTTCTTCTTTCTTGTGGTTCCTCTTATTGGTTATAATTCTTCCTCACCACATGATTAATGTGAAAATATGTTTAATAGGAATATATATCAGATTGCCTCTATCAGATTGCATGCTGTCTTGGGGAGGGAGGAGATGAGGGAGGGGGAGAAAATTTAAAACTCAAAACCTTATGGAAGTGATTGTGAAAACAAAAAATTAATTAATTAATTAATTGATTAATTAAAAAAACACATACAAAATAACAAAGTCATGGATGCCAGGTTAAGAACTCCTGCACTAGGGAAGTTTTTTCAAGGGTTTGTCTGATTCTGTCCTAACAGCCTTATCCTGACTCACTGGTTTATTAACACCTTGAATAAAGATGTTAACATCACCTTAAGCAGAGATGTCTCCCTCAGTGTTGGTGAAGACTAATATAATTTATATTATATGACATTTATATTATCTTATAATATTTCACAATAGCTTAACTCTAGTTTCCCACCTTCCCTTTCCCCACTTCCTGCTTTTCTCTTCTCTCATACAAATATATACTTCAGGTTAAGCATCTTCAACCTTTTTGATTTGGGGGTATAGTAGTCCTGCTAGTTCTGAAGTCAGTGTAAAACCCTGGGAGAGAAGACTGACTCCAGCTAAGTTTCTAGCATAGTCTCTCTCCTGTAAACATAAAAGTCTTTCCCATCTAATTGATTTTTAATTTCTGTGTCTTCTGAATCATTCACTCCAACACACGATTACACTTCCATACCTTCATGTGGCCACGCAGAATCAATGTTTTCTGCCTCTTTGGGGAGTGCTAGGGAATCAAAGTGAATTACTGCTGTGAAGGAGCCATGCAGGGGCCCCACCACCCAGATTCTGAAACACAAGCTTGTGAGGTTGGTAGCAGTGGCTATGACCAAGAGATTGGATAGGCTAGGTTTGGACAGTTGAGTAGGAGCTCTGATTACTTAAATTATCTAATGCTATTTCATGAGACTTTTACCTTGTATATTGTTTTAATTATTCTGATTTGGCACAATTTCCTTTTCTAAAGGCTTTTTTTTAAAAGTAGAAGTATGTAGTAGGAGTGTACTCTATTATGTTGGCAATCACATGACTCACACAACCCATGCATTGCATGTGTCATCACCTCTACAGCGAAAAAATTCCCAGCTCAAGTTCTTCCAAGAAGCCATTTCTAATTCCTCCAGCTAGGAGTGATCCCTCTCTCCTGGAATTCATTTTTCAAATTTAATCTCACTGATGAACATCCTAACTTGTATAAATTATTTTATATACTTTATCTTCCTATTGTATTGTAAAGTACTTGAAATCAGGAACTATGGTATTTGTCATATATATATATATATATACACATATACATATATATATATATATATATAATATATATATATATATATACATATATATATATATATACATATACATATCTATATATATATATATAAAATCTCCCCATTGCATGCCCTACAAACAGTATATGCTTAACAAATATTTGTGGAATTGGATTGCTAGAGGAATCTGTATAAAACAGGTTTTCAGAAATATAAAGCTATTTTGAATGAGGGTTAAGTGGGAAAGGGATGGTATAATCCAGAGAAAAGGCTAGCACAGAAGTATTGAATATTGAAAATCGAGGGTGACAATTAGCAAATGCATTGCATGGTCTGGGACAGGAGCAGAGAGGAGAAACTTAAGCATTATGGTTCAGTGTAGTGGAAAAAGGATAGTTAATCATTTTCCCATAATTGTCATACAGCATGCCCTTAAAGACCCTCCACTTCCCTTTCTCTGGCTCCAAGAATACCAAGCATACCTTTCATTTTAACATGATTTCCATTATATATATATCAATACTTGGAAAAGAGGTGTCTCCTCTTTTTATGTCCCCTTTGGCTCTCTTGGGATAAAAACAGCCTAGTCTCTTTCAAGCTCTTTCCCCCCATTAGAAGTTAATAAACCAACATTCTGACTTGTTAATTTACCTACCACATAGAGTTGTTATAAACTGGAAAGCGCTATGAAAATACAAGCTATTATTAGTAGTAATATCCTTAGTAGACTTCATGAATAATAATAATAATAATAATAATGGCATAAAATTAATCATCTCCTATAGTTTGATTAGTTTAAATCAGTTTACTTAGGCTCAAGCAATCCTGTTGCACTGACAAAAGTCCAGTTCCTAGACATAAAGTTAAATGACCAGAGCCCAGACAAGAGGACCAAGTACATTTGGCAATGTTCCAAATGACAAATACAGGTGCATATCTCCCTTCTCCCTGACAGTATGCATTCACACAGAGAAGAATGTCACAGTTACACAGTAACATATGCTAAATTATGTTCTTCACATTCTTTTAGACACAGGAGGAGTAACCATCTGTCCCAGCTTCTCCAAAACAATGTATGATTCCCCATGAATTGGTGATGGGACTGAGGTATGGAGTGGTTGGATTTCTTGCTCAAGTGTGCAATGGGTCCCTATTCCAGGGTTGGTGACCCCAGAGAGAGAGGATGAAAGACAGCTGCAGGTGAAGGTCTCTGATGAAATTGGTGCTACTTCTTTGGCCTAGCCCAGTAGGAAGAAGGATACTCAGTGCCAGGTGTAGGCTGGGCCAGGACCAGGGATGAGTTAGACTGATTAGGGCAGGTTAAAAAAAAGGGCTTGGAATAGAGCTAAGGGAGCAGTCAGAGTTTTGTCTTCTTGGTCACCAGGTTTCTCGCGTTCTCCTTGATATGGGAAGGCATTGTGTCCTCCAGATTATAAGCATCTTCTGGTTTAATAGGGATGTAGAAGTAGCCCATGATGGAAAAGATGAGACAAACAATAAGCAGGAGACAGGAAAACAAGATAAATTCAGCCCACTGTGAAGAGAAAGATAGAAAGAAAAAAGAAATTTAAAAAAGACTTAGGAAACATGTCAAGGCTCGCTGGGAAAGTGGGTGTATGGGGCCATATTGCCATATACAAAGTCACTCAGAACAGAGATTTCTTGGGGAGGCATTCCAGAGAACTCAGGTCTGTGAGGCTAATCAATTAATACAAAGATGGAGGGAATGATTATTAAAATGGGCAAACAGTAAGTCTAGCTTTTCTGAGGATTAAGGCAAGCTAACCAGGCTGGTACTAGAGTATAGGGGTAGCTAGCTAGGTATTAGAAGGTACTTTGTTTCATTGTATGATATATGGTACTGGAATTGTGGAAGGATTTGAAATCTGCCTTCTCTGGGTATCTTGAGGTCAGAACACCTGGAGTTAATTCCTAGCTCAGTGACTTTGGACAAATCACTTTACCTAAGTCTGTTTCCTCATGCATAATACTTACATTAGCTGCCTCACTGAATTACAATAAGGAAAGTGCTTTGTAAATTGTAAACTACTATATGGTTCAATACATTAAGGATCTGGGATTGTTAGTGTGATATCAATGTAGATCACAACTTTTTATGACTTATTAGAGTCTTTTAGAGTTGTTGTTGAAGAAAAATTCATCACCCTGTAGCCAACCTGGTGATGAGTCCCTAGGCTGGTCTTTGGATGACTGACATATAGTCTGCCATCAGTTCTTTATTCAAAAACCTCATAGTTTGGTAAAATAAACCGGAGTTTATGCTTTGCTAAGCATAGTCTTCATCACTCCAAGATATGCTATGCTGAAATATCAGAATAGGACATCAGTGAGGGAAAGTACTGTAAGAAAATTTATACTCTTGCCATTACTTTTTATTAGTAAGAGGTGATCTCTGAAGGCTCTGACCTCACTGAATTAATAACTATAACTCACTCAAGGATCTCAAAGGATCAGAGCTGTGACTAGATGTCCATGGGAGAAGCAAAGGAAATGTTGTTCTCCGTAGGTTCCCTCTCCTGGGCCCTCTCTCCCTTCCACACCCCTCAATCCAAATTCTTTCTGCCACACCATGATTCCCTGAAGATACATTGAAAAGTTCTTTCTTTTAAACTCTCCTTTTAATTCTGTACTGATCCAAACATCTTCAAATGGCCATAATTCAATGCCTCAAAGATCAGTGATTTCTTCTTTCTGGGTATTCTCTTCACCATTGTGATTCACATGAATGAAAGGAGTTCCCACTGAAGCCTTTCAACACTTCAGTAGATAGTTTAAATAAGTTGCTAAGGCCACAAAAATTCACCACCTGATAACCAACTACTGGTGATAATAAGCATCTCTGAACTTCGTGCTTGGACAGCAGACTTGGAAGCCATTTCTGGGCTTGTTTTCAAAGCCTTTTCAAATCAGTAGGATCTGACAAGAGTTTATACTGTTGGCATAACCTTTGAGAACTCAGAATTCCCTCCATACCATGACGAGATCTCAGAGTAGGACTCCAGAGAAGTATGAATGGATTCTCATCTCTACCTAACTTCCAGATAGCTTCCTTGCCCCTACCTCCTACCCCTTTCCTGTCCTCGTTGGTTGAATACTTATGGCAATTCTGAGGCATTCTGTGACCATCAGCTTACATTATTTTTAAAAAGATAGTTCTTTCTTAGTTGTCTCTTGGCCCAATTTCATCATGTTTTCTAACTACCCATGGGAGTCATTGTTCACTTCAAGTGACAGCCATAGCCCTAGTTGTCCACTTTCTAAGCAGCAGGCATGCAGCCAAATTGCTTTGCAATATAGTATCATAGAGGGTGCCTAGGGGAATGTATGTGACCTGCTGTCATCGTAGGACCCATACCTGTACCAAAGCACTTGTCTGTGCCACAATAAGTACGATGATATTCCCTATGGCCACTGTCAGGAGCCAGGCTGCTTGTAGCACCGACTTCATGCTGAGGGGGGCCTAAAGAGGACACAAAGAAGCTTGTAAACAGGGCTTCTCTAAGTCTTTTCATTCACCCCAGGAGGCTTCCCATCCCTACTCCACTTTCCAAGAACCTTTTCATTCAATAAGGATTTATTAAATGTCTACTATGTATAAGAGCCCATGTTAAGTTCTGGATACATAAAGACAAAAATCAAATAATCCTTGCCTCCAAACAGCTTTATATTCTACTGGGATATAAACCTTTAAAATAAAACAGTACCCACTAAGCTTAGCTATCAGGCCGGCTTGAGTACTATGACTTCTCATGAGTACATGAGTTGCTTGGTTCTATGGTTATAAAGAATCCCTTGGAGCCAAGCTGCCATTCTGCCAATGTCATAGGTTAGGAGCCTAAGGCCTAGGGTGAAGGAGGGCCTTGGCCTGTGTCCTACACTTTTGTTAGGGAAACTCAAGAATTCAAATTAACAATTCCCTGAATTATGCTCAAAGATTACTGCAAATGGTGATGGCAACCATGAAATTAAAAGATGCTTGCTCCTTGAAAGGAAATCTATAGCAAATCTGGATAGCATACTAAAAAGCAGAGATATCACCTTACTGACAAAGGTCCATATAGTCAAAGCTATGGTTTTCCCAATAGTAATGTATGTCTGTGAGAGTAGGATTGTAAGGAAAGCTGGGTACCACAGAATTGACACTTTTGAATTGTGGTGCTGGAGGAGACTTGAGAGTCTCGTGGACAGCAAGGAAATAAAACTAGTCAATACATGAAGAATTAATTCATGCTATTCACTGGAAAGTCAAATACTGAAGCTGAAGCTTAAATCCTTTGGCCACATAATGAGAAGACAGGATTCATTAGAAAAGACCATGATGTTAAGAAAGATGGAAGGCAAAAGGAAAAGGGGATGGCAGAGGATGAGATGGATGGATAGTGCCATGGAAACAGTGTACATGAACGTGGACAGACTTAAAGAGATAGTGGAGAATAGAAGGGCCTGGTGTGCTATGGTCCAAGGGGTCAGAGGAAGACTCAGACACAACTGAACAACAAGAATCATGCTACCCCTAACTCTGTAAATCCTCACCTGAGACAGCTTTGAAAGCTTGTCAGTCAGTCAATAAATATTTATTAAATGCCTGCCCAGCACTGTGCTAAGCCCTGGGGATACAAAGAAAGGCAAAGGGTAGTCCCTACCCTCGAGGAACTCTCAATCTGTTGTGGGCAACAACATGAAAATGGCTAGACAAACAATAAATATGATTAAAAAGGAAATAATCAACAAGGGGAAGGCTAGAATGAAGAAGGATTGGGAAAGGCTTCCTGTAATAGGTGAAATTTTAGCTGGGACTTGAAGAAAGCCAGGGAAGCTGACTTATTATAAACTAAAGATCTGCAGTTTCACGTACAATCTCCTCATTCTTTTTTTTTTACTATGCATATGAAAATGCCTATGTTATTTGGTGTTTATTAAATTCAACTTAAAAATAAAATATAAAAAAAATACCTTACCTGAGCATAAGAGAACTCAAGCCCAGTGACAGAAAACATAACCTCGGCTGCAGTAATCATTATGTACTGTGGTAACTGCCATGCAATGGACATTTGATTGGGTGAAATATCTTCAGTTTTCCATGCCTGGAGACCCTGATCAGAACTCTAAGCAGGAGAGGAGGGAGACACACCAGTCAGTAGTACTATCAAAACACTTCTGGGGCAGCTAGGTGGCACAGGGGATAGAGCACCGGCCCTGAAGTCAGGAAGACCTGAGTTCAAATGTGGCCTTAGACCAAACACTTGACACTTACTAGCTGTGTGACCCTGGGCAAGTCACTTAACCCCAATTACTTAAAGAAAGAAAGAAAGAAAGAAAGAAAGAAAGAAAGAAAGAAAAAGAAAGAAAGAAAAAGAAAGAAAGAAAACCCATACTTCTGACATCTATCTTTCTTTTCCTTTTCTTTCATGGCAAGGCAATTGGCATTAAATGACTTGCCCAGGATCACGCAGCTAGTAAGTGTCTGAGGCTGGATTTGAACTCAAGTCCTCCTGACTCCAGAAGTGGTATCCTATCCCACTGTGCCACCTAGCTGTCCCATGTTGTTATCTTTCCAACCAATCATATTAACAGTCTTCTTTTGCTTTTCATTATTTTCAATCTATTACTTTCAGGGCCATCATCAACAAAATTAAATCAGACTAAAATCTATATTAAAAATCAAGGACACACCTTCCCTCACATATACACAATTTGCCCAGCTCTCCATGACAAGAGCTTTGAATGGACCAAAATTAATCCACCCTTTTGCAATTATTAGACAGCTACTTCATTTCTTATACTTAACTGGACAGGGGTTTCAAGGAGCCAAATGACCTGAGTCCTTCTGTTCAAGTCACATTTAGGAAGCAACAATTTACCCAAGCAGATCCCAGATAGTGATAGTTTCTAGGGGCCATGTTGAGACAAGGGCAGATTGTCTTACTTGAGCGTGAAGACTCAAGGTGAATTCTGATTTCCAACCCTCACTCCACTTAAAAACCATAAAATACCATCATTCTTTACATTCTCAGTCCTAGAAGTAGGTACACAACATACAGAGACCTCAGTGGGCCTTCAAGGGCTAGTCTGGGCAATGGATGTCTTACCCAATGGATGAGTACAATGGGCTTCTTGCAGAAATGATGACTGTAACATCTTATCTTTCTTGACTTGCTTACAGAGTCTATTCTCCACTTCCAAGCAGCCTCCTTGGGTGAGGGAAAGTGAAGGTAAGGCAGACATAAATGAGAAGGGGGAGAGCTACTTACATTAGTAATAGCAATTACATATGCTGCACCAAAGTCAAGTAGTCCCAGGTCCAAGGAGAAGTCCTTATCTTCTGTTCTACACTGCACGTGATGGTACCTGGAGAAACAACAAAAGAAGGATCTCAAATCCAAAGCTACACTATGCCTCAAAAAATTAGACATCTCTCTCCCTCCTTCTCTCTCTCTCTCTCTCTGTGTGATTTAAATAATAATGCAATAAAAATGAAAATAAGTGACTTCTCTCTCAATGTGATTTAAATAATAATGTAATAAAACAAAAACAATAAGTGATTTAAGTGCAATTTTTTGAAATGTGGAAATAATGACTACACTTCCACACCTTGATGTAGAGTTTTCATGACAAGGTACAAGGTTTTCTAAGTTAAACAAATCTGAGGGGTAAACAGCCTGGTAGCTGTTTAATGGACAGTAGATCTCCATGAGGCACCTCAGTAGGGCTCCTAAGTAGCTGAGGAGCAGCAGAAATTTGCTGGGCCTAGGGAGGGCAAGCCTTGGTTGATAAGCCATCAAGATGTGCAGGATTACCCACAGGGAATAGGTCACTAAATACAAGCTTTGCTTCGCTCATAATTTACTGCTCACAATTCGCCTCTGGTTTCTGGAGTAACTCCTATCTCCCCATGTCTTTGCAGGACTATAGGTATGTAGGAGGGAAAAATGAATTTAACTTGAATATAGATGGGAAGAACATGATCTGAAAACTCAAAGGCCTGATCCATGTCCCTTTCTATATCTGATTACTCTGGATACACACTACAAATATTTGATCTTGTTGAAGTAATTCCCATGAGGATAAGGCTCTTACTTTCCCCTTTCCAAGGTTTTGTAGTCAGAGATGCCATAGTCTTCACCAACACTGAGGGAAACATCTCTGCTTAAGGTGAGGTTAACATCTTTATCCAAGGTGTTAATAAACCTGTGAGTCAGGATAAAGGCTGTTAGGACAGAATCAGACAAAGCCCTGAAAAAACTTTCCTAATGCAGGAGTTCTTAACCTGGGATCCATGACCTTGTTATTTTGTGGTTCGTTTGTTTTTTTTCAAGTGTTTTGATAACTGTATTTTCCATAGAATTGGTTTTCTTTATAATCCTATGTATTTTATATTATGACTTCAAAAACATGCTTCTGAGAAAGTGCAAATAGGCTTCAGACTGACAGATGGGTTCATGATACCAAAAAAGGTCAAGAATTTCTGACCTACTCTCTTTCTGTCTTTGGAGCACAGAGCAAGAGGAAAACGATAAATATAAGCAGGAGGTATTTAGGCAACAGGGCCCAGGACTATGTGAAGGGATTGGTCCTTGCCCTAACCCCATCAAAGCCAACCTGCCTCTCTGCTGTGCTTTCACTCTCAGGGGAAATATTTGTTGATCCTATTGCTCTAGGAAATCCAGAAGTGAATCTCTAATCAGCACAAGCAGAGGTGTCTCCACCCACAGCACACAGATCAGACCTAGACCATGATCCAGCAGGGAAAGAGGACCCCAGGCATTCCCAGTGATTTGTACCTCACAGCTGCCATCCCATTGGCTGTTGAAGTTGCCATGCCCTTCACCTACAACACAGGGAAATCAAAATGAGTTAGAAAATTGTCAAAGGATATAAGTAGCAATTCTCAAAGGAAGAAACCCAAATGATCAAAAGGCATATGAAAAAATGCTCCAAATAACGAACATTTGGATTGAAAATCAAAACTATTTGGTCACATCATACTTATTATATTAGCAAAGATAAAAAATAAAAAGGAAAATGACAACTGTTGAAAGGGCTGCAGAAAAATAGAGAGAGTCTAGGAAAAATAGGAAAGTCCAGCCATTCTGAAATGCTATATCCCCAAATTAATCTGTGGCTTTGATCCAGGATAGTACTACTAGACCTAACCACAAAGACATCAGAATAAAAGATCCCAATGTACAAAAGTATCCATAGAAGTACTTTATCATTCTGTCTTTTTTGTGGCTTCTGCTGCTCAAAACAAATTCTAGAGTCATAGAGTCATTATTTAAATATATTTGGAGTAGTTTGGGGGAGAACTCAGGCAAGTCCCTGCCTTTACTCTGCCATCTTGGCTCCAACCCATAGCAGTACTTTTTGTTGCATCAAGAACTAGAAATTGGGGGATGGCTAAATAAATTATGGTATATGAATGCAACAGATGAAGCATGACACCCACTTCCTGATAGAGTGATAAGCTCAATGTAATTAATGAAACATACATTTTTGGACATGGCAAATATCCAGAATACTGGATTTTTTTTTATTTGAGGACAGATTAGAATGGAAGTTCAGAAGTAAACACAGATAAGCAGGTCAGCTTTGAAAAAAACACGTTGAATGTATTATATTCTTTTTAAGAAAAGCGAGCTGTATGTAATAGAGACTTGTGGTTTCACATACAATCCTTCTGTCTGTTCTACTTTGTATCATGAAAATATGTGGAATTTTTTTTCCTCTCCTTTTTTTTGGGGGGGGAGGGTTGTTCATTAAATTCAGAGTAAAAAAAAATTTTTTTTTTGCGAGGCAATTGGGGTTAAGTGACTTGCCCAGGGTCACACAGCTAGTAAGTGTTAAGTGTTTGGTCTGAGGCCACATTTGAACTCAGGTCATCCTGACTCCAGGGCCGGTGCTCTATCCACTGTGCCACCTAGCTGCTCCTAAAAAAAAATCTTTTTAATCCTTTAGACTTAGCCATCAATAATTTATACTAGGAGAGAAGAATCACAAAGACTATTCTGCCCAGTTAATGAGCCCATCACCTCACTACATATGCCAGTCAACCTCACCACACTCACCAGGATGCTGGAAACTCCACTTTGATCTCCACGAATGACCAAACTGTATCTGTTCTTCTCTTCCAGCATGTGCTCACTGGTAACAGACCTGTTGTGATACTGTAGCTGGAAGTGAAAACTCTGGCTCTCTGTAGTCAAGAGCATTTTAGAATGGTCTGTTGTCTTCTGCAGAAAGACATAATGTGTTCAGGGTAAAGAGTCTTTATTGTAAAGTTGGACACATAGGTTTGAATCCCAGTTCTGTTTAGTAGCTGCACAGCCTTGGTCAAATCACATAACTTCTCGGGGTCTCATTTTCCTTATTTGTACATGAGGAGGTTGGAAGCAGAATCCAGAGATCACCAGATGATCTCTAAGGTCTCTTTTAGCTTTAAATCTATTAACTGAGGTATCAAATAGTTTCTTGCTACTTTCATGAGCATCATAATTCCAAAAGGGGTGAAGGACATGGAGACTCAGAAATCTTCACTGTCATTATAGGTTTGAATGAAGATGCAATGCAGATAGCAATCCTTATTGTCAAAGTTGTGAATAGAACAAGAGTTCTTGACCTTTTTTGTACCATGGACCCCTTTGGCAGCCTAGTGAAGCCTATGGACCCTTTCTTTCTCAGAATAATGTTTTTAAGCACATCAAATATGTAAAGGAAACCAATTATATTGAAATAGAGACGTATTTTTCACCATCCAAGTTCATGGACCTATGGTTAAGAGCTCCTGCTCTTAGAAGGTCAATGATTAGGAGACAGTTTGAGATCTTTGGCTGGGCCATTCTAAATAACCGTGCTGATAATTGGGGATACTGTGCAAGTATGATCCCAAACCACCCTGGTTCCATCTCCTCCCCTCACCTGAAAGGGCTTAATGGGCTCTGGAAACACAGAGTTGTTATGATAATTCTTTAATGACACTTTCACTTCATCATCTGCTAGATTCAGAATCCTTAGGTAAACCTCTTTGCCTCCTGGCGTGTGTGGGCTCAGTTCCTAAGAGCAATAAACAACATGCAAGAATCGTAAGCATCAGGGGCAGCTAGGTGGTGCAGTGGATAGAGCACTGGCCCTGAGGTCATAAGGACCGAGTTCAAATTCGGCCTCAGACACTTGACACTTACTAGCTGTGTGACCCTGTGCAAGTCACTTAAACCCAAACACTCCCTCCCCCAAATAAAGGAATCGTAAGTATCATGGAACTTAGTCCTGATATTTATTGGTTTAATGTATCATCCTAGCACTGGGATCATTTACATTTATAGTTTAATCAGAATGGCTGGAAATGAAAAATTCAGGAAGATCTGAATTAGGCAAGCAGCATTCTGAAGTGGTTGGAAGACCGGAGTTGAAGTCTCACTTCTGTTAAGGTTACATTCACTAGCTCTCTCATCTTGGGAAAATCATCTAGCCTCTTTGAACCTCGGTTCCTTTGGAAAATGAGGATAAGTGCCAGTTTATAAACTGTCAAAGCATTATAAAGCTTGTCCAAAAGTCTTAGTGTAGTTTTAAGCCAATAAAGTTTTTTGGGACAGTGTATAAAGTAAACGATTCTGATGCCTCCTGTCATGGAGGCAACCTTTGGTTATCAAAATGATGACAGGGGAGCACAAGTTCTGACAGGTCCTATTAAGCTGGAAAGCCTTTGAGTATGATTGCAATGAAAGACTATGCATTGGTCATCCAAGAAACAACCTAACTACGCTTATCACCAGAAGTTTGGCCACGAGGTGATAAAAGTTAGGCCATAGCAACTCCTAAAAATCAGCCACTAAAGTGCACATGATTAAGCCCTCTGTGTTAGTGAAAGGCCCATCCACGCTAATAAAACCATGGATAATTTGCTATTTTTATGTTAAGAACATAAGAACTTTGAAAGAACTCATGGCAATGACAAACCATAAATCCAGAAGACTAAAGATGAAACTTTCTGCTGGGGAGATGAAGAACTTAAAATGGAGAGAGAAAGAAACATTTCAGGGCATGACCAATGTGGAAGTTTGTTTTGCATATGCATAAACAAATGCATGTTTATGATGAGGGCTTTTTTTGTTCGTTTTTGGTTTGTGGTGGGGCAGGCACTGGAAGAGACAGACTATAAAAGCATGTAAAATATATTGTTTAAAAATAGTTATTTTTTATGGTGGATTATCAAACTAAGCAGAGAATATTCAGGGAGGCATTTTCAATTTGCATTAGAGCTCATATATACTTGAATCTCAGGTTTGTACTCACATTTATCTTGATCTCAACAGTAGCTGCAATAGCAAATGCTAGGGATGCCAGGATCATACCAGTTGCCATTTTCCTAATAGACCTGCATAAGGGAAGGAAGAAAATCCATGGAACAAAGGACTATTTCAAGATATCCCTACCAATCAGACAATGAGAGGAAGCCATGAAATGTTTTCTGCAAACAAGGGATACATTCATCTATTTGTAGACTTGAATTGAGATAGTCTAACTTGAAGGCAAAAAGATTAACAACTGTCCCCACCCACAGATTATTTGATTCTCCTTTCCAATGAGGAATGGGTCCCATCCCATTCAAATTATGCCATTAAATACTTTGAACTCCTTAGAAGAGGCAATCTAGGGAATGAAAAAGAGAACAGTATTTGTTAAGCACCTACTATGTATCAGATACTATGCAAAGTCCTTTACAAATATCATTTCATAAAAGCACAATACAACAAAAGCTGGTCGATAAAGTTGTCTCCTATACTCTCTACTCTCACAAAAAAAAATGGGTCTCATCATCATAAAGCCTGATTAAAAGCACAAATATATGTGGAACTAAAAAATAAAAACTATAGAAATGAATCCTCATTTTGTAACAATTTACAAAATGGTCTTGACATGAACAAATAAGGGATTAGCAGAGAAACTATGGCAAACTAATCTCAATGTATCACTAAACAAATATTACCAACCACAACATCTATCTCAGAATTAGATAAAGAGAAAACCTGTGTCCAATGAAACATATACAGCAAGCACTTACGTTAAATTGATTCCACACATCTTGACCAAAGGGTAAATCCCCAAGTCAAACATTGGGATAAAGATAAGCACCAGAAGGGGATTCAGCACCTGTAATGTCATGTAAGGAAGACTAGTTACTAACATCCCAACAGAGACAATAACTTGTAAAGAAATATCCCAACTGGCAAGAGGGTCATCCCTCTCTTGTCCATTCCCAGCCAAACCCTAGAACACTCTGTGATGGCACCCTTACTCCAGATCCATTGGCTGACCTCTGGGGCATGCAGTTTAGAGCTGGCACCCCATTTCCCACTAATTTCTAAAGATTTGCACTTTCCATTGCTATCACATTGTCAGTTATTCAGCCCATATGCATTTGTTAAGTGATTAGCATGTGTCAGGCATTAAGCTACTTGCTGGTGTTATAAAAAAAAAAAGACAAAAAGCAGTCCCTGCCTTCAAGGGGCTCACATTCTAATAGAGAAGATAACACGTAATTAACCAGATACATAAAAGAGAAGGATTTTGTGATAACTCAAGTGATGAGGACCTGAACAAGTGGAGAGAAGGGGATGGGAAGGAGGAAATTATCAACATATTGGGTATATGGAGTTAAGGATGCCACTGAGCCTGGGTGACTGGGAGGGTAGTGGGGCCACAGACAGTAATAGGAAAGTTGGGAAGAGGGAAGAGTTTGGAGGGAAAGATGAATTCTGTTTGGGCCATACTGAGTTTGAAGTATCCAGCTTCAAATGTCCAAGAGACAGCTGGAGATGTGTGACTGGAGTTCAGGAGAGAGACTGAGTATATAGATTTGGAGATTCATCTGAATAGAGGATAATTCAGGGGATATAGAGGATAACCCCTGGGAGCTGATACAATCACAAAGGGAGAGAGCATCAAGAAAAAAAGATACGTTCAGGACAGAGCATTACATAGATGAAGAGGTAGCAAAAGAGATGGAGAGTCAAGTTTCTTGGATAACAGGAGAACCAGCTGAGGGAAGTGTCATGAAAATCTCGAATACTTCAAAAATAATAAGGAAGGGGTGATTTCTTCACTGCCTGGAGTCTTTAAAGCTTCAGAGTCTACCTCCCAGATCCTTCACATCCAATTCATGGCTGTTCTTGATAATATCCCCTGCTTGCCACCTACCCACCCACCTCTCAAATTCTAATTTAATTTGTCTAATTCTAAGGCTAACTTCCCTGAATAAGGCCAATTGCATGGTGGAAGAGCTCTCTTCAGGCTATCCCTATGTAGAGTGGATATAAAAATGACCATTTGTGAATTTGCCCATTCCTCACAGGTGCCTCAACTTCATAGCCCCAGGGAAAATGAAACTGGATAGGAGGACAACTGATAAGAAGTGGAGCTAAAGGATATAAGTAGGGACCCTATTCTGCACTCAAAGTGTCTACAAAACATTATTGCGTCCACTCTGAAACGGCATAAACCAAACCCTGTGATTTATCCAGAGCCTGAATATTCATTTTGCTGGTAGTACAGGGTAGTTTGGAAGAGTGGGTCAAAAAGAATCCATTTTCTCCAGTGCTATGACCTCCTTGTCTCATCATCTAGTTGCTGAACTGGGAAGGGGTAAGAAAGAGAGTACAAGAAGTCATGGCTATGAGGAGGGTCCCACCTGTATCTGGTCAGGCTGGAACACAAAAAATCCCTGAAACATGAAAAGAAAAAGCATTAGTAAACCTCTGAAAAAAAGAAGTTGGATCATAACCACCTGTGGTTAGTATATGCCTAGGATATAAAAGAAAATCAACAAATATTTCTTATCTGTAAAATGGGGGGGGAAACAGCAATACTTCACACCACCTATGTCACAGGTTTGTTGTGAGAAAAGATTATTTGTAGAGATGCTTCTATATTGAGCATTGTCTGTCTGACAAAAGTCAGGATCTGATGAATGCTGTTGTTATTCAGTTGGGTCCAACTCTTGGGGATTCCATGGACAATAGCATACCAGTATTGTCCATGGAGTTTTCTTGGCAAGGATACTGATATGGTTTGCCATTTCTCTCTCCTGTGGATTAAGGCAAACAGAGGTTAACTGACCTGCCCAGGGTCACACAGCTAGTATGTGTTTGAGCCTAGATTTGAACTCAGATCTTCCTGACTCCAGGCTTGGTATTCTGTCCACTGAGACACCTAGCTGTCCATCTGATGAATGAATTACATTAAAATAATGATGTATAGGAGGAAGACTATACAAATGGCAGTGTGGAGTAGTAGAGAGCAGACCTTAGGGTCAGGAGGACTTGGGTTCAAATCTAGCCTAACACATACTGGCTGTGTGACCTTGGGCAAGTCACTTAAGACCATAGCTCCAGAGGTTGAAGGGATATTATAGGTCATCTATAGTATCCAACCCCCCATTTCACAGATGAGAATTAACCTTTATAAAACTAACTTTCAGAACAATTGGTTGATTTTCCCCTGTAAATGAACTTTCCTCATAAGATGAGGAAACTGCATCTACCAGTGAAAATTGACAAATTGCTCTCATAACAAAGAAATCAAAGGTCTGATCCAAAAAGAGATGGGAAAAATAAATGCAAATGGATAAGCTATCATTTGGCAAAGAAGTCAACTCCCTTGATAAAGATCAAAAGCATAACTTACATGGAAAAATCACTTCTACTCACCATATTACCATTCATCCTAGTTGCCTGCAGAGTCCACCGAGAGCCCTAGAGAACAGAGATGTTTCCATGAGATATTTCATACCCTATGGTGGAAGGAAATGGAAGGAAGAAACTTAGAAAGGGTATAGCCCTGAATTCTTATTAAGGAACCTTTTTTCTTACCTGCTGATCCAAGAGAGCCCAGAACATTGGCAGTGGAATATAAAGGAACAACACACGGGTCAGTGCCTTCACTTCTAAGATGAGCTGTTTCTGTAGGAAGAAGGGAAAAGCTGGAACCTCCTGAGCTTGCAAAAAAAAATCTACCAACACTGAACAAAGGGGCCAGAAAGCAGTAAGAGAACAGCTTGGGTCAGAGTTGACTGAGGGAAAAGGCCTAAACCAGCAGGATGGATTTAGATTAGAGATCAGGAAGACAATGAGACTCTAGTGAACAGGTGAATGAATGAGGTTATGGAATCTCTCCCAAGTCACACAGCTCCCAAATCTCCTCCAAAACAGAGCTTGCCTTCTGAATTTGCCTCAATTTGCTTATATCAGGAATTAGCACCAGTGATGTGGAGAAATTAGAGGCACAGAAAATTATGTCAGTTGAAGGAGTCCACACAACTAAGCAGCAGTAGTAAATGGCCTCTAGGGGCTAAGGGCAAAGGAAAGGTGATCAGTCTGTCACTTGCCATCACATGGTCCATACTGCCCGCTAAGCAGACCATTCAGTTCTACAACCCTGACTCACCGGATACTTTTCCTCTGCCCAGTCCAGCCAGTGCTCTCTCTTTGGAATTTCACTGGAACGGTTCTTCAGGCGATTTGAAATAGCAAACTGAGGAAGAGCCAAGAGAGGATCAGAAAAAGAAAAAAAAAGAGGCAGAAATGTTTTCCCAACTAAAACCACCTTCATCCATTTCACCTTTGAATTTTTTAGACAAATCAATTACCATTAATCACAGAATTCCAGAGTCCTCAATAACTTTTTTTTCCACTTTAGTCTCTAGAAAGTACTCTTGTCTAGCTAGGATTCAAGAACATTCTACCATTTTGAAGATGGCTAAGCACAACTAGAGTGACAATCTGAGCTTGGAAAACTAGGCTATGGGGGGATGGAGCCAAGATGGCGGCATGAAAGCAGTGACTGGCTTGAGCTCTCCCCCAAACCCCTCCAAATAACTGTAAAAAAAAAATGGCTCTAAACAAATTCTAAAGCAGCAGAATCCACAAAAAGGCAGAGTAAAACAAATTTCAAGCCCAAGACAGCCTGGATGGTTGATCGGAAAGGCATATCCCCCAGGGCGGGGAGAGGAGCTCAGTTCGGCTTGGGCGCGCAGGCCACAGTGAACCTGGAGCAGGCCTCAGAGGACCGAATCACAGGCAACTGTGGCGGTTTCCAGACTCCTCAATCCACGAATGCCGAAGACAACTTAGAAGATCAGTGGGAAAAGTCTGTTTTTGCGGTGAGAGTAGAGCTAGGTCAGAGCCAGTTTCAGAGTGCAGAGTGAGGGTGCTGGCGCAGTGGCTGTGTCCTAAGCTTCCAGCCCACAGACTGAGGGGGAATCAAGCAGCTGATCAGAGGGGTACTACAGGGATCTTTTTGCCAGTGCTGAGGCAGGAATCTCTTGCTTTGCCCATGCTTAGATCTGGGTCACAGTTTTGGGTGGTGGTCCCGGGGTGAGGGGGAGCGCTGGCTGGAGTGGTGGAGCTTGTAGTAGCGGTGAAGAGAAAACCCTCCTCACAATTCCAAGAGAGAAAAGACTGCTTGTGGCCGGTCACTCAAATACCAGAACACAGGCCAGGAAAAGAGTAAACACCTCAACCCTTATCATACCACGTTGGAAGAACTGAAAATTTACAGGCCCCTACAAGTATCTCTGAAAACAGCTATACAAACCCCCTAAGCTTCGGACAGTACATTCTCCACATTGGAAGCAGACTCTTACCTTAACAAAGAGTTTAAAACTCAAGTATTGGCCAGGATCATGAGCAAGCAGCGTAAAAAGAGTCAGACTACATTATCTTACTTTGGTAAAAAAGAAGATCAAAATATACAACCAGAAGAAGACAACAAAGTCAAAGCTCCTACATCCAAAGCCTCCAAGAAAAATATGAATCAGTCCCAGGCCTTGGAAGAGCTCAAAAGGGATTTTGAGAAGCAAGTAAGAGAAGTAGAGGAAAAACTGGGAAGAGAAATGAGAGTGATGCAAGAAAATCATGAAACAAGTCAACAGCTTGCTAAAGGAGACCCAAAAAAATACTGAAGAAAATAACACCTTAAAAAATAGCCTAACCCAAATGGCAAAAGAGGTCCAAAAAGCCAATGAGGAGAAGAATGCCCTAAAAAGAAAAAATTGGCCAAATGGAAAAGGAAGTCCAAAAGATTACTGAAGAAAATACTTCCTTAAAAATTAGAATAGAGCAATTGGAAGATAGTGACTTTATGAGAAATCGACACAGTAGAACAAATCCAAAAGAATGAAAAATTAGAAAAAATGTGAAATATCTCATTGGAAAAACAACTGACCTGGAAAATAGATCCAGGAGAGAGAATTTAAAAATTATTGGACTATCTGAAAGCCATGATCAAAAAAAGAGCCTAGACATCATCTTTCAAGAAATTATCAAGGAAAACTGCCCTGATATTAGAACCAGAGGGCAAAATAGAAATTGAAAGAATCCACAGATCTCCTCCTGAAAGAGATCCCCAAAGGAAAACTCCTAGGAATATTGTAGCCAAATTCCAGAGTTCCCAGGTCAAGGAGAAAATATTACAAGCAGCCAGAAAACAATTCAAGTATGTGGAAACACAATCAGGATAACACAAGATTTAGCAGCTTCTACATTAAGGGACTGCAGGGCATGGAATATAATATTCCAGAGGGCAAAGGAGATAGGATTACAACCAAGAATCACCTACCCAGCAAAACTGAGTATAATCCTTCAGGGGAAAAAATGGTCATTCAGTGAAATAGAGGACTTTCAAGCATTCTTGATGAAAAGACCAGAGCTGAATAGAAAATTTGACTTTCAAATACAGGACTCAAGTGGAACATGAAGAGGTAAACAGGAAAGAGAAATCATAAGAGACTTATTAAGGCTGAACTGTTTACATTCCTGCATGGAAAGATGATATTTATAACTCATGAGACCTTTGTCAGTTAGGGTAGTGGGAGGGGAAAAAATTATATGTATTATAGTATAGATAGATAGATAGATAGATAGAGGGCACAGGGTGAGTTGAAGATGAAGGGGTGATATCTGGAGAATAAAATTAAGGGGTGAGAGAGGATTATACTAGAGAGGAGAAAGGGAGAGGTAGAATGGGGTACATTATCTCACAAAACAGACAAGAAAAGGTTCTTACAATGGAGGGGAAACAGGAAGGTGAGAGGAAATGAGGGAATCTTATTCTCATAGGATTTGGCTTAAGGAGGGAATAACATACACATTCAATTGGGTATAGAAATCTGTCTTACCCTACAGGAAAATAGGGGAGGAAGGGACAAGAGAGAGGGGGATGATAGAGAAGGGCAGACTGGGAAAGAGGTAATCAGAAGGAAATACTTCTGAGGAGGGACAGGGTCAAAAGAAAGAATAGAATAAATGGGGTGGCAGGATAGGATTAAGGGAAATAGAGTTAGTTTTTCACAACATGTCTACTATGGAAGTGTTTTGCATAACTGCACATGTATGGCCTGTATTGACTTGCTTGCTTTTTCAATGAGGGTGGGTGGGGTGGGAGGAAGGGAGGAAATTTGGAACCCAAAGTTTTAAAAACACATGTTTAAAAAAAATGTTTCCACATGCAACTGGGAAATAAGAAATACAGGATATGAGGTACAGAAATCTATCCTGCCCTACAGGAAAATAGAAGGGGAAGGGGATAAGAGAAGTGGGGGAAGAGATAGAAGGGAGGGCAGACTAGGGGAAGGGGTATTCAGAATGCATGCCATCTCGGGGTGGGGGGTGGGAAAAGATGGGGTGAAAATTTGGAATTAAAAATCTTGTGGAAGTAAATGTTGAAAACTAAAAATAAATAAATTTATAAAAAAGAAAAAAAGAAAACTAGGCTATGATAGAACAGACCTACAAAGTCACAGAATAAAAATATGCACCAATATTTATAGCCCCCTAAGTTAAATGTTTCATGCATTTCTCTCCAGTTTTAAATAGAGAAGATTAAAGATTCACTGGCTTACCCAGATACATTTGGAGACTTCAACCACTATGTTTCCTTCAGGGGGAGGTTTTTTGTACATCTTACTTCCAAGAGCAAACACAACTGTAAGGGACACACAGATAGGTGAGTTAAGCAGACCACTTATGGAAGGAATTGGCTTTTGATCCCTAAGTTTTGGTTTAAACATTATTGGATACAAGCATGGAGAAGTAGAGAAACTTCATTTGTGAGGTGAGGTATAAGGAAACAGATGTCATGCTCATTTTTATTATCTGATATGTGTGTCTAAGGTTTTGTGGGATCCTGTAGAATGCAGACCATGTGGTTTGCACATGGTGCATGTTTATTTAAATATCCTTCCATTTGCCATTCCAACAGGGAACATAAAACCAGACACAATAATAAGGACGAACAAAACACTACGTACTTAATATTGTCAAGATATTAGAAGACACTCTGTTTTCCATATATAAGACCCAACAAGCAAGCTGTGCCCTGAGCTTGGCATAACAACAGTCCTTTGGATTGCTCTCACCCTCTGGACAATCTGACCCTCTGGTAAAATTACTTAATTATTGTATTTCTCTTATCAGAACCAGCTATTCTCTGAGCTTAGATAAGCACTAGACAAGCTTGAACAAATTCTGGTCATGAAGCCCTGTGATGAATCAAACTTGTCACATTGTTGCTGTTAATCCTCATCGGTAGGGCTACAGTTCACTGTCCAACCACTAGTGTTAAGTATTGAGATCTCCCCACATAGCCTTGGGTCCCCCCACTAGGAGCAGGGCCCCAGCACATATCTAGATCCCCTCCTTGCTTGCAAACCATTTCCCTCATTTTGAAATTAAACTTCTGTTTGATTCCTGACTCTCCTGTCTCTTACTTGCTCTGTTTGGCTCCAGCCATCCACAGGTTAAAGGCCAGTTTGGTCCAATAGACATCAATCAGTATTAGAAGGAGGATTGGACATGGAACCAGGTCACTAGACTTTCTGGTACCAGTGGAAAAGGACTAGGCATTACTGGATATTTATTTCTTCAGAGTACGACTACCCTCATCTGGTGAGTCTTCTGCCCTTCTCCCTGCTCCAATGCCCAAGCTCTTACCTTGGTCGAGCTTGCCATTCTTTGTGAGGAAAACTCCAGCCCTTCACCCAACTCAGATCACTCTGGTAAGGATATCCTTTTCTAAACTGCACACCTCTGTTAATTGGTCCCTCTGTGTGCCTCTGTTATTTTTAAACTGCATGCTTCTGATGTTTCTTAAACTGCATGTCTCTGTAACTGTTGGCCTCTGTATTGATTGTAACTGCACACTTTGTTAAAATTGTTTGCGTCCTTATTAAATGTCTGTGTCATGTTTGTGTTATTTGTAGATTCTGTTACCTTGAAAGATTTAAAATGCAGCCAGCCAGGAAAACTTCTAGGGGCTACAGTCAAAGAGTTTAGAAATCTGGGAAAGATTAATCAACTTTCACACTTGAAGCAATTGTTCCAGTAAGCAGGACTAACTTCCACTTTAGGCTTTCTGCAGGAGATTAGGTTGTAAGAAAAGAGAAAAAGGGAAAAAAATCTGCGAGACACTTTTTCTCTGTCATTTCCACTTTGGCTATGTTGGAATTACAGAAATAAAGTCAGATAGTCAAAGGTTGTAGAATTACTAAAAAACATCTTGGTAGATTTTGGAAATTTAGAGATTAATCATTAAGGAGTTTGAAGATTTGTCATTTTAAGATTGCAAGGGAGAACTCTTGAGATTTTGGGTAATTCCAGGAATTCATTCCCTTCTGAAATATCTTAGTAAATTTCAGAGTGGCACTCTGTAGAATTTGTTTTAAGAAAAAATAAGGATTAAATTTTATCCTACAGTTAACCCTTCCTTGGTAAGAGACCCTCTCCCTCTTACTCTGTTAATCCCTCTCATATCAGATCAGATTCCTAAACATAGATTGAAAAAAAAATGCGGGAAAATATGTAGGGAAACTTGAATTAAGTTCCAGTTGTAGAAATCTAGTAACTGTATAATCTTTGGCAAGTTATTTTATCTCTGTTTGCCCCAGTTTCCTGATCTGTAAAGAGAAAAATAATAATGGTACCCACCTCTCAGGGTTGCTGTTGAGGATCAAAATAATATGATGATTGTAAAGTGCTTAACGCAGTGACTGCCATATGCTAAGCACTATATTATTATTTCATTAATTGAATGAAATTGTTCCATACTTGATAACTAAAGTTGTTTTAAAATGTCAAAAGTAATAAGATTAATGATTTTTATGTGGGATAATTTGGAAATGCAATTGATGTCATCTGAATTCTCTTACACTGTGAATTTGTGAGATCATTGTAAGAGAAATGCTGTTAGACAAAACAACTTTTTAGTCTGGATGCTGTTACACATGAATTGGGCTCTTAAAAGGATGTGATAAAAATAGATATTTGAAAACAGTTAATTTTTTATATTTAAAAAAGTCATATTTTGTTATAAAGCAGATAATAAAAATGTTTACTATAATAGTGAATTTTCATTTGAAAATCTTGGCTAAGTGTATAGAGTGGTTTAAAGATGTAGTCTCAACATATTAATGACAAGACAACCATCAGATATTTGCTGTGTGTCTGAAGCCCCAGAAGATGGGTAGTTTTACTTTATAAGTAAAGGATAAATGAAATGTTAACCATTAGGGAAACACAAGGAAAGATATTCAAGCCCTAAGTTGTGGTGAGTGAAATTTTGCTATTTAAGGTAAAAATTCCTGGCACTGTAATTTACTGTTGTTTTGATCCTTGATTACAGGGATAGTTGTCTCAATTGTCATGAACCCAGTTACTAGAAAATGGCATGTGCTATATAGTCTGGAATGAGTTTTACATGACTGTGCATGTATAACCTACATCAAGATGCTTGCCTTCTTAATGGGGGGGCGGGGAATGAAGAAAGGGAGGGAGAAAATCTGGAACTCAATTTTTAAAAATAATGCTAAAAATTGTTTTTACATGTAATTAGGGGAAAAATAAAATATTAATGGTTAAAAACAGTCCCTTAGGAGTATTTTTGTACAAAAGAAATGATGAGGGGGTGGTTTCAGAAAAAAAAATGTCAAGACCTATATGAACTGATGCAAAGTGAAGTAAGAACTGGGAGATAATTGTGCACAGTAAAAGCAATGTTGTTATGATGATCAACTGTGAAAGACTTGACTACTCTGATCAATACAGTGATCCAAGACAGTTCCAAAGGACTCATGATGTAAAAATGCTATCTACCTTCAGAGAGAAAACTGATAAAATATAATTTCCTCACTTTATTTGTCTTGCCTTTTTTTTTTTTTTGCAATATGGCTAATATGGAACTTGACATAATTGGGTAGCAAATCTGATTCAGATAACCACAGGGCCTGGTGCATAGTAGGTGCTTAATAAATACTTGCTGACTTGATTAATCAGAGGATGGCTGAGGCAATACTTGGGGAAGTGTGTGGTGGTGGTGGTGGTGGGAGTGGGAGAGAAAAGGTATAGAAGAGGGGTAAGACAGACAACAAGCCCCCCTAGAATGAACAAGAAATGAACCCCATTAAATGAACCATCTGAGGATTTCTCCCTTCTCTGAACAATCAAAATTAAGCAAAATGCTGAATCCCTGGGCTACTCTTTCTCTATCAAGTTCTTGTTGTTTGGGGGCTGGATCCATTCCAAGAAATGTCATACTGGGCCCCAGGAGAGGAATGTATTTTAAGGTCAATGATTAAAAACAAAAAACACACAGACCAGCCCCTGGATTATGTAACCCAAGTAACCAACCCAGCCCCCTGTTCTGGGGCTAGGCTCTAGAAGAGGGGTTTGGGTGGATGAAGAATCGCACTTCATTTCCACTGCATCAGACTTAGCCCATCACCTGCACATTAACATGCAGAATCTGGGTTTTTCTAGCTCCAGTCACTCAAAGAGCTCAACTTGTGTCATTAGGGCAGAACCGGGGGCAGCCAACTACAAGTTACATTAGATTACATACATTATTAGATACATTTACTTCAGAGCGTGCCTTTGGGTACCCTAAGAAATCAAATCATCCTCCATTTGCTCATGGAGCTGGTCTTTGACCTAGTAAGCTAGGTTGAGGGAAGGGAAGGATTCTCTTCTCACATTCCCTGTCCACTTACCAAGAGCTAGTACCATTAGCATTCCTGGAACCCCAAAGGCTAATGCATAACAGTCTCCTCCAAAGCACTGTACATCACCTGGAGAGAGCACAGAGAAAGCAGGGTCACCCTGAATCTTAGCTTTCCTACAAATCAATTTCATACAGTTTTCCCCAACATCACCCTCCTCATGGGGAGGGGGTGTGTGAGGAGATCTTTGTAAGGATTGCTTAATCCAATTCCTTTCAGAGAAAATTTAAACAGAAGGAAACACCTACTATTTCCCAAGCCCTCTTTGAAAAAAAGACTTTCCCACTCCATGATGGGTCACAGCAAAACCATTCACCAGGCCCCTCATAAAGGATTCGAACCTCTTAGCATGGGCGTGACAAACACGGAGATCAAACTCCCTGCATTGATGGCCAAATAGAAGACTGAGAAGAATCTGCTCCTTTCTTTGGCCTGGGACAAAAAAAAAAAAACAAGGAAAAAACCCACAGAATAAACTTCACCATTATTATTATCAGAAACAGATCCTCACATCCCTATAGTCCTCATCTCCCTGACCTGCCAAACTCAGAACTAAAGTAAACAATGATAGAGCAGCCTGAAAGTCTAAGTGCAGCTCAAAGCTATTAAAGATTAAGCTTATTTCTTTTTAATTTACTTAAGCTTATTAAGTTTTATTAAAACATATTTCATAGTAGTTTAAAATTGCAGTAAGACTTTTGGGACACCCATTACATGCACACTGCCTGGTCTCTGCAAACTACATTACACATTAGAGATTTGTGTCATTTGCATGTTTTGCTCATCAAACCTACACAAACCAAATCAGATTATATGGGTTGTATAGTAGGAATATGTTAGCAATGGGGAGGGTAAGCAAGTTAGAACCAAGGGCAAAGAAAGGAAACATTGACCTGACAGAAGACCTCATCTGGCGCTTGCCAGGGGCCCTATCTGAAAGTTTAATGGAAGAATTAATAAACTGAATTGTGAATTGGAAAAGAGAAATTGGGAAGAGCTGCCACTTTCCCATTTGCAGTAAAGAGTGTGGGAAGTAGATGGTAAATTAATTCCTTCAGACAAAGTGTGACATTTCAAATAAGTTGGCTCCTTCAGGCTCCTTTACCCAAGTTTGTTTCCCCATCCCCAAGTGGACTCTCCTCATTCCATTCATGCTTGCCCAATCCTCTAATTCACAGAGCCAGCAAATGAATCTAATCCCCATCTGTTTAGAGGCTAGTTGTCTTTGCAAACAATCAGCCCATCAAAGAGACACGACAATATAAGTGATTGGAGTGAAAAAGAAATTCCAATGGCCTTCTCCCCACCCCCTGGACATAATGCAAGACTGGAAACTTGAAATTTGCATAAAGATTAGCAATTACCTTATTCCACTAGGTCACAGCATCACTTTCCTGGCCAGGAAAATTCTCAAGAGTCAGAAATCACAAGGTGAATAAGAACAGGAAGAAAAACAATAAAAAAAAAAAGCAAACATACTCAATACAAGATAGGGAAAGACCAGTGTTAGAAAGAAAAGAAAAACACATGAAGTAATCAGGACAAGGTGGAAAATGGGAGGAAAAGTGGGAGAAGGATGAAAAGGAAGTTAGGAATTTGGGATAACTTGAAATACACATGATTCTCTCTTGTATCCTCAGAATCTCAGGTGAACCATTTTCACTTTGCTCATCTATCCATTCATATTTTTCCCCCTTCATTGACTTGGGTTAATGAGGGGGAAAGAAGGCTTTTCTAGCTGAGTGATATCTATGGAAAACCTTTCTGTTCTATTTTTTGTCTGCTTGATGATTCTCCTCATTGGAGAACCATTCAATTCGTGCTTAGCTGGGCCTTCTACCTCTCTAATTTAGCCCCTCCCCAATCTGTGATGCCTGGGTTCATTTTCAAAAAGGAGATGCTGAAATCATGTGGTTCTTACATGTTCTTCTTCAAACTGGTCTCCACCAAAGGCTGCTACGCAGGGTTTGATACCTCCTGTTCCCAACGCTATCAGGAAAAGGCCAACCATGGATAGCACCCTATAAGAAAGAGAAAAAGATTCTGACAATATGGATGCACAGTTTTACTGCTGCAATAAAGATTGTGGGGCTCCAAGACAAAAAGCTCACTAGAGCAGAGAGTACCCTAACCCTGGGGGTCTTTTCTCTCCAGTATTCCTAAGGAAAAACAAGAGATCTCCCTGCCTAGGAAGGGGCAGAGGGGGAACCAAAACCTGCAGGAACAACTGAGAAGAATGTGCATTCAGTGATTCTACTCACGTGTGCATTAGATGTCCCCCCACAACTGGTACTGCGCCCAGTGACTTGATCACGTGACCGAGAACGTACACCAAAGAGAGATAAAGGATTGTCCTGTCAAGAAATCCAAGTCATTCAAGAGTGAGAGGCAGTTTACAGGTTACTTTACAATATTAACCCAATGCTTTAGAATTCATAGGTTTCATAGCATTCATTCAAAGAATCCACACTGTATTTCATGCTTTGAGAACACAGAGGAGCACAAACAAATGTAAGTGCCATATTCTGCCACACTCTCAGCCTCCTCCTCTGGTAGATGTTTTGGAAAACATTAAAGTTACACACAATGGACAGAGAGGAAGAAGCTGCTTTAAGGAACTATTTTAGAAATTTAAATGAAAAACAAAGGCGGAAGTTAAATAGAAAAGACTGGTAGGGGTTCAATAATGAACACTTTCCTTCTATGAAGGGCTAGGCAAGGATAGTAAATATCTCCCATTTACTTCCCTCCCCTTCAAATGCAAACAAGACAAAACTAAGGAGTAGAGTCTCTGGTAGAGTTGAAGGTGATCGGGTTGGGATCAGGACCCCAGAAAGGAAAAACCCTGGACTTTCCCACATGGCCAAATCTCTGGTGTTTGACTGAGGCTATAATCCCATCAACTGGACTTTCATTGTGGCTACCTTCTTTCTCATGGCCCAGCCATTTCCCACTCTTAATCCTAGGTAGGCTCCATTCTCCCATGGCCTTGAGGCTCAGGTGCCAGGAGTTCTGTTCACCCCAGTTTACTGGCCACTCCTAGGTCCCTCCCACAGTCTTTCTGTATATAAGGTCCACCTTGTCTCCATTAAGATGCTCAGATTCTTTTAATCTAGCCACTGCTCTGATTCTTAAAATCTAGCAACGTCTTAGATTCTAATAATCTAGCCACTGCTCCACTGCTTACTCATGTTCAGACTCCTTAAGAGTCTGCCCATATGACAATGTTCTAATAAACCTTGTCTTTGGCTGAAAGAAGGCCTGAGTCGAATTCTTTTGGACAGGACTCGCGTGTCCCAGGACCCCTGAACCTCTAAACCGCAAAGGGATTATAAAATTAGGAGAGCTGAAGGGTTTCTTGGTTTAGAGTGTATTTTGATCAAGGGGTGACTGTGCCACTAGGGAGTTATAAAGACCAGGTTAGGGGCCAGAGAAGAAATTAGAGCTGCCTGTTCAGGATTTGCTCCAGGCTTACTCTAATGAAAGGGAAGGGAAAATTTGGTTCCCCTCTCCTCACTCCTAGCTCAGCCAAAGTAGTCACAGGATGTAATAATGTCCAATTAAATCCTCTCTTTTTCAGTTCATAAAATTTGACTACAATACCCTCTCCTGATTCTTATCACTGTCACCTACCGACCTCCAGGTCACACTCTTACCTCTGTGATTCTGTAACTTAACTCAATCTTCTTCGCAATCCATTAAATCCTTTCTATCCTCATCACTCTACTGAAGCAGCTTTGTTCAAGACCATTAATCACATCTTTATTACCAAATCCTACAGTTCTTTTTCTCATTTGGTCCTCCTTCATCTGTCTGTAGCATTTATCACTGTTGGTATCACTTCTGGGTGGCCTTTCTTCCCTTGGCTTCCATGATACTTTACTCTGATTATTCTCCTCTTACCTTTCAAACCATTTCTCTGCTTCCTTTGTTGGTTCCCATCCTGCTCCTGTGCTTAAATATGGTTTTGCCCCAAGGCTCTGTTCTAGTCTTTCTTCTCTTCTTCCTCTACACTTATTTGATGTTTCATCTATTCTCATGGGCTTCAATTATCACAACTCTGAAGAGTACTGTCAAATCTAAATATGTTGTCCTAAAATCACTAACTACTGCCTCCTGGATATTTCTGTCTGGATGTCTCCTTAGCACCTCAAATTCAATATACCCAATAGTTGTCTCATCATCCTCCCTATTCAACCTGGTCTTTCCCCTTACATTTTTACTTCTTATGTCACCCTATATATCCGAGCAGTTGCACAGATCTGTTGTTTCTGCTGCCACAATGAATTATTCTTGTACCTTTCTCTTCACTTTTGCTTTATTGTGATAGCCCAGGTCTTCCTGCCTCTACTTTATCCCCTCTTCAGTATATCTTTCACATTATTGCCTAATACATCTTCCTAAAACCCTGCTATGTTCATTTAGTCCCTAATCAAAAATCTTCAGGGACCCTTCATTACCTACTGAATGTATGTTCAACTGAATGATCTTGGCCAAGAATTGAAGGACAATAGATAGGCTACCGTGGTACTTCAACAACAGACCCAGAAGTAAAGCTATGAAATCATGCACATGCTAACACAGCCACTTTGACACACACATCACATTCTCCTTATGGACAAAAAGGATGCAAAACTTTAGAACTGAAAAGTATCAACCTTTCTAGCCATCTCATTTTATAGATGAAAAACTGAACCCAGAGAGGTTAAGTGATTTGCTGAAGGTAACAGACATAGTTAGGAGTAAGAGTCAAGACAAGAACTTGGTTTTCAGACTACTAGATCAATGGGCTATCTACTATACCATGTGTAAAATAAGAGACATGATGGGGACAGGAGGAGACTTGTGAATCTGTAGAGAGTATCCTTATCAGATTTGAAGATGACATAAGGCTGAGAAGGATAGATAACACACCGGGTGACAGTCAGGATGCAATAGGACTTTGGATGAGCTAGAGTACTGTGTTGAACCCCCAAATTAGGACATCCAGAATCCAGAAAGAAGGGCCATTTTGAGAGGGTGATATAGGCAGAGAACTCTCTATATAAGGAAGATTAGGCCAGTGTCAACGTTTGAAAAGAAAATGGAGTTAAAAATCTTTCTCTGAGAGACTCAAAAATATACTCTGTTGGACCTTAGGGAAATCATGGAGAGCATAAAATGAGTATTCTCTAAGAAGTATAGTTAACTATTGTTAAAGGATAATCAAAGAAAAAGGCAATGGAGGAAAACTGTAGTGACTACAGTTTGGGACCAATAAGATACTCCTGACTGCTGTCATTTTTGTTTTCCAGGTGCCTTACACATAGTAGGCACTTCATAAATGCTTGTTGGATAAACCTATCTAGATCTTGGATAAAAAGAGGGAAAGAGTCACCCTTTAAAAGAGAAGATGTATCTTCTCAGAATGTTTGTTTCTTACATTCTTAACTGAATACTAAATTTCAATTAGGGTTTAGTGAAAATATATCTGTAAATTTTTCTTCAGGCAAGTTCATAGATGCCCTGTCATCTGTTCATGGGCCTCCAAATACAGAATTCTTGGTGTAAAGGATGAAAATATCTAAGGTAGGACCCTGGGGATCAGGAACACTGTGTGTGGGTGGGTGAGCACATCTGCTTCTCTCATAATCTTCTGGCAAATATCCATTACCACTGCTACCACTATCTCTTGAGCTGGGAAAATCCACTGGCAGGAATTCTCCTCTCTAGTCAAGTAAGCCAGAAAGTTGTGTTTGAGAACACAACATGAATCTCCCATCTGCTCCTGCACTATGGCATGTATACTCTGGTTCCAGATGGAGGAGAATTGTGCTCTTATACAGGCTTCTGTTCTCCCCATTCTAATGTGGAGGGGAGAGTATGCTCATATATAAGTGTGTAAAAACACTTACAAGGCAGAAACAAGGTAACCTTGAAGGAGAGGGAAGCAGTAGCACTTTATAGTGAGGAGGAGACTGTACTGGTATATAGGCTTCCACATCTTCCTACAACCCCCACAATCCCTTCCTAGAAAATAGATTTGTTCCCACTCTGGTTTTATCTGTGCTTTGAAGACAGAAAAGGAAAGAACATAAAAGCATGGGGAGGAGGCATTTTTTCTCTTTCCCATCCCCATGTGTCTGCGTGCCTCCTGTATCAGTTCTCCTCCTTAGAATTCATTAGACTGTGAGCTCCTTGAGGTCTGGAACTGTCCTTTGCCTTTCTTTCTGTCCCTAGAACTTAGCACGGTGTCTATCTTATTATAGCTAGCCCTTAATAAATGCTTATTGTCTGACTTAACTGACTTCCCAGAATCTGAGCAAACCAGATCATCTTGGTAGCAGCTTTAGCCCCTGAAACTGTCCCTCTTCCTGTCAACAAGGTACCTACGGCTACACTCTCCATAGAGAGGTGCCCATGAGATGACAGGGGTTCTTAACCTTTCACATATCACGGACCCTTTGACAATCTGGTGAAAGCAATGCATCCTTTCTCAGAATAATGCCTTTAAATGCATTAAACAGAATACATAGGATTACAAAGGAAACCAAGTATATTGAAATACAGCTATGAAAATATTAAAAATAAAACAAAGCTTATAGATCCCAGGTTGAGAACCTCTATTCTAGAGGCTTGTTGTTTTTCATTGTTCATTGTTCATTTTTCAGTTGTGCCTGACTCTCTGTGATCCCATTTGGGCTTTTCTTGGCAGATACTGGAGTGGTTTGCCATTTCCTTCTCTAAAGCTCCTTTTACAGATGAGAAACCAAGGCAAAAGGGTTATGTGACTTACCCAGGGTCACACAGCTACTAAGTGTCTGAGGCCAGATTTGAACTAAGGAAGATGAGTCTTCCTGACTCCAGGCCCAGCACTCTATCCACTGAGCTACCTAGCTGCCCCACATTCCCATTCGCACCTCTGGTCAGGCTAGCTACATTATAAATTCACCCAGTTGATGGGGAGCTCCTCAATTCATTAGGGAAAGGGAGGCTTCCCTAATCAACTCCCCCTTATAGGAGAGATATGAGAAGAGATCTAGGTTAATAGATTTATATCTAAAGCTGGGAGGGACTTTAGGTCAGCTAGTCAGTCAATAAACATTTATTAAGCATCTACTGTGTACCAGACACTGTGCTAAGGCCTGGAGATACCAAGAAAGATTTTTTTAAAAAAAGCCAGTGCCCGCTTTTGATAGCTCAAAAGTGAGTCCAATTCCTCCACATCCCCTTCCTTTTTCTAGTTCAGGAAACTGAGGCCCAAGAGGTAAAGGCGCTTGCCTAAGGTCAGATAACTTATAAGTTGACTCAGTATAGGTATACTTTGTTTAATTGAACTTAGCTTTATTGTATCCTGCAGATATTGCATTTTTTA